TGTGTAATTAAAATGTATGCATAAACCTATTTCACAAGAATTGACTATTATACATATATATATATATATATATATATATATATATATATATATATATATATATATATATATATATATATATATATATATATATATATATATATATATATATATATATATATATATATATATACATTACATATGTATCTATACATATATATATGTATATTTATATATATTTGTATGTGTATATATAAGTAAATATATATTTACGTGTGTGTTTGTACTTATATATATATATATAGGCGTATATATATATATATATATATATATATATATATATATATATATATATATATATATATATATATGTATATATATATATATATATATATATATATATATATATATATATATATATATATATATATATATATATATATATATAAACTATTCGCACATCAGTAGTTAAAAAGTGTACTTGTATCATTGAAATGTATATATGTACCTGTATTCATATCCACATCCCTGATATTTACATCAGTTCCGTTTTCCTTCAGTATGGAATCTATCTGGTCATTGACACCACCCATTGTGTTACAATACACAGTACCGAGCGCCAGAAAATATAGCAACACCATTGATAATCTCAGGAATAACATGGTTTGCGCTTAGGATAACGTGCACTCAAAATTGTGTGAAACAAATCTATACAATTATGGATATGGTGTCAAGTACATGCATAACTAGGCTGGATTTACCAGAGAATCGCGTTCTATACAATGGCGAAATACTAACACATATTTTTGAGATCCAGAAAATTTAGCAACACTGCTGCAAAGCTCAAGAATAACATGGTACGCACTAAGGATTACGCTATTCTAGTCAGTTTTAGGCTGGATTTACTAGGGAATCGCATTTTATATACATGCGAAATAGCAATCCCATAATCAGACAACCAAAATGTTTAATACTACACAGCCATTACCAGTTCGTCATGTCATTTACCCACCTTTGAAGGGAACCCAAATGTGCTATCGAGAGTTCTAGCCTATTGATAAAACATGAGCGACCCGACTAGTTGTTGTGTTGGCGTTGTTTCCCTTGGGGACAGGGCTTGTGATTGCGTCCCTTTATTTATTCTAGCATTAAGATAATTCGGACATGGGCGAGGTCGGAAACTACTTCAAAGGGAGGTTTTGTCAGATTATCAGAAATACACGAAATCGTGTTTTTAAATGTTTAGTTCGAATAGTAAATTAAATATCATACATATGTATCATTGTATAGTTTTAAAGATTCCTTTATTTTAAAACGACACGAAAATGCTTCTCATCTGAAATTATGACGTATTTCAACTTACGATTGTTAAAAAAAATACATCTTTGCCGTTATTCGACAGGCTAATTGCTATCCAACTATCTATGACCAGTCTATTTATCTGTATCCGGCATAAGGTGAATATGTTGATTAATTGGTTAGATATTTTCATTTAGTTTATCTTTGTTCTAAGAATGAAATAATATTTTTTGTAATTATGATGTTAGATAGGGCGTGTGTTCAGTGTTCAATGTGCATTCGGCAACACATACTGTGTTCAATGTTCCCATCCCAATCCCCACCCCCCCCCCCCTGCCGCCACTCTTGAATAGAGAAAAAAAAGACAAAACTTTTAGAGATATATTTTACTTATTTTAGAACAAAACAGTAAATCTAAGCTACGTTTATTTCGTAATTCCCCCCCCCCCATCCCTTCTTCACTACGTTGCGCAACTAGTCCATCCCCCTTCTCTCCCTCCCCCCTCACACACACGCAAATATACATGGATTGTAGATATAGTAAAATTAATCAAACTTGCGTGCGATGTTTAGAAACCCACTCAATTTTCATACACACACACTCATACAAACAATCACCAGGCATTTTCAACGTCATCGAACGCCACGCCTTTTGCCCCCACCGCATTTTGTCCCACACTGCCCTCTAAACCTCCCCCCCCCCCCACACACATACACAATTAACACAATCCACGATCATTTATGGGTTCAATATCTTCCAGTGTACAACCCGACAAGGGAGGTAAATGGTGAATAAATCAGAGTAACCTTTTCCTGAACAATCATCATGGTTCAGTCACAGTTCCATCAATGTATTGGCTGTGACGTTAGTTTTGACCTTGACATTAACAGACCTTCTCGGCAGGCTAGTTAACCAGGTCTGATTCACCGATTCGTTAATGATTAACTGTGACATTGACCTTTATTGCCCAATTAGTTAAGAACTCAACTTGCTCTGCGATTTTAGTTCGTATTTGTTTTCGTATTGTATAATGGGATTATTTTATTATCCTTTCTGTGTTTTCTTGATACATCACTTTGTTTTCATTTCAGTGCTTTGTATAACTCGCTTTACGTAGAGATTCCATGATTTGTGTATTGACTTAGCGGTTAAGACCCTAATCTTTATTTTACTTTTTTTTTAAAATTTCAGCTAGTAATTTTTCAGAATTATTAAAAGATTTTAACAGCTCAGCAAAAGTTTGTTAGTGGTTTTTTTTATGTCACCTTAGTGTGTGTAGGAGTTGTTGTCACAACATTTTGTAGGAGTTGTTGATGTCATCTGCAACTTTGTGTACCAATTATGATGTCATTTGCAACTTTGTGTAGAAATGTTGATGCCACCTACAATTTTGTGTTGCAGTTCTCCTTGTTTGCATACAATCAATTGAACAAGACAGCAATGACAATGCGTACATGCACTTTATTCAAAACATAACACTTCAATAGGATGAGAATGAGAGCGGATGTTTTTAGGCCTTAAGGACAATGTTTACGAGCATTCTATAAACAACTTGTATCCCTAATACAATTTCAGATGACAGCAAACCCTTGCATACATGCGGATTTGACCTTTACGAACCCATTCACACGTGAGCGTGACTGTTGGTACGATAGACAGCGACCCCTCTTTAGTGAGAGTTTCCTGATGTCAATCTCCCTGCCCAGCGTCCAGCATAGAGCCACAGATTTGAACCATCAACCTTACCCTCTGCTAGTTCACACGATCACTACCACACATCTTTTCATTTTGATAAACACGTTTGAGGTTCGAATCCCAGTCAGAATAATATATTCTAATCATAGTCGAAGAGGTTATCACACCCCATCTACTCCAGCAGTTCCAAGTTCGGATACCAGTCAGCATACGATGTTGTAATCGGGGTAGACGGAATATCTCCTACGCTCTACTGCACCTGCACTAGTTCGTATGGTGTATCTGGGGAGTACATTTAACCTGTGTTAGTTATATAAATCAAAACAACCGATGACAACTTTAAAATAAACATTTCATTTGTTCAATTTGTGTTTGTTAAGTGAATCCTTTAAGGTTATTCCCAGCGCAAATTTAGTTTGGAATTGTAAAATTAATGTTCATTTTGCGTAGACCTAAAAGTACGTTTTTAGGCTGATCGTTTACTGCAGTTAATGTGTACAGAATGTGTACAGAATGTGTACAGAAAACATAGAAGTTCTCAGTTATCTGGTCAGGAGAGTGTTAGGTGGGTTACAACTCGTCCTCAATCTTCTCATCTCTAAATTCATGGGCTCAGAAAATAAAACTGTTTCACGTTAGTTAAATTTAATGGCCGTGGTGTACTCTTTAAAATGCTTTCAGATTCAAAATTATGTGTACGTTTTTAAACCTCGAAATTTCGAGTTGTCAGGAAAAGTAAAAACGATGTGGAGATGCAACCTATGCAACAACGGCATCTTTTCTTTATCTAACGCAGGGGTCTCCAAACTACGGCCCGCGGGCCGGATGCGGCCCGCGAGGTCCTCTCATCCGGCCCGCGGAGATCTTTTTGTCAACGGAAAAAAACGTTTGTTGGTGATGGCTGAGGAACTTTGCCCAAAAAAATCAAAGACATGTCTGGAAGAAACTGGCCCCCGAACTGAAATTTGATAGTTAATGCGGCCCTCGGACTGAAAAGTTTGGAGACCCCTGATTAATCTAACGGATAAAAACTCCAAGCCGTGTCTGTTTATTTTAAAACACCATCCTCCCCACCGGTGTAGGCATATGGCCACACCTTCAGCATTAAATGCACACGATGATTAGGACACTTAAAATTAAGAGACTTAAATGATTTAGTTAAAAACCCGGCTATTCACTGGTAGTTATGTTTTTTTTTTGTCTTTCTAAAAACACCTTTCAGCTGAGCATGGGTCTGACCAAACTATCCCTTTATATGCTGAGATGACAGAAACAGGCAAACTCTACTTCACCTGCCCCATGTCCCGCCAAGTTCCGATAGGCAACTTTATCATTCATATCTTATAAAAAATTATTGAAAAAAAAGTTAACATTGAAGTGGTGGGTCTCGATCCCGTACCACCCGCATGGTAACTGTTACACTACCATCTAAGCTATTTAGGCATTACAGATTGAACCATCGCAAGCCTGAATAAACTCTACTAACCAAACCACTCGAACACACAAGCCAGTCAAACAGCAAGTATTCTTCTACTGATACCTCACAAAGTTTAAACTCACAGCTAAAAATGTCCGAACAAAATGAAATGTTGTCCCACCGCTGGCTTAAAAATCTGGGTAAATATCGCCATTCACCCTAAAACAATCGGACGCTGTTGCGAAGAGCATAAAGATGGCCAAAATGAACAAATAGTATCCAAACAGTAATCTGCAACATAAACACGTAGAGGCCTTATATATGCATATATATATATATATATATATATATATATATATATATATATATATATATATATATATACATATATTATATATACATATATATATATGCATATATATATATATATATATATATATATATATATATATATATATATATATATATATATATATATATATATGTGTGTGTGTGCGTGTGTGTGTGTTCCCCTTAACAGATGTAGACAATATGTGATGTGCATGCATTTGTAGGCCGAAATGATACAGGGATCATACAAATACCAGTTAACATTAGTAAAGGCGTGGCTCACCTATATGCAGGCATGGTATGTAGTGGCACGATAGTAGTGGGTAGAAGTATTGCCAGTACCAGACATGAAATAGCTGTGGATGACAGAGGGAGACTCATCACTACCACAACTCAGGTTTAATTTTACAATATATATATATATATATATATATATATATATATATATATATATATATATATATATATATATACTAGCGTACCCGTCCCCCGCGCGTTGCCGCGGGGATAGAAGAAAGTTTGACGAAATGTATTAGAAGGATTTCACCAATACGTTACCAATTATAGTTATATGTTCTTAGACGCGTGACCATCTTTTCTAAAAGTGAGTTATTTAAATGTAAACAATGCCTGCGCTTAAATCATAAATATCGGGACACGGGTTTACCTACACTACCGCATGTAAACATTGAGTGTACATTAATCACTCACCGAAATAATGTTAGAACACACTTCGGTGACCGCCCATGTGTCAGAGACGCACTGGGGCGCTCTTAGGCCCCCAACCCCCCGATTAGACTACCGCATAGGCGCGGCGTACGACCCCTGGCTCCTTAAAAGTAACAGGCGCCATCGTGCCAAATAGCATCCTGTTAATAATGATGCAGATTTCGTCATTCGCTAAAGTGACACAAATGAACAGTTTTTTTTTTCTTTAACACGTAAAAAAAGTATTTGACGTGTTTTAAACATCAGTGTGACTGATGCGATAAGCTAGCGTTACTAAAGGTCTATTATTAGATGCTTGATCTCAATTTCTGACTGGCTTGTCTAATAGTAGATGCTTATTGCATCATTCGCAAAGTGACGAAACTCTACAGTAGGCTCCTCATATTCAAAAAGTTATTTTTTCATCTTTGGCAAGGTGACGAAACTGTACAGAATGATTTCCACGCGTTACAAAGTTATTTTTAGAAGCCTGTTGTAGTTTTACGGCTGAATATAGTAGTACCCCTTACTTGCTATGCAGAACGCTCGATTAACGGATGCCAAGTGCCAACATAGTCGCTCTAAAACTCTGGGTGCCAAACCGTGTATTGACGAAAGTTGTACCCTATATGGCGCCGCCCATAAGAAACTTTAGTTTTCTTTTTCGCAGAAATATTCTCGGGAGTATTCTCATCTACTCCCTAAAGTTTCATGGCACTCGGATGAACCGCATCCGAGTTTTATTTTTTATATACCGTGTATAGAGAGAAAAAAATCGCCCCCCCCCCGGAGGGCGCCGCCCTTGCAATATTAAACAATTTTTTTTTTGCAGAACCCACTATTGAGTGATCTAATCATCTCCCCAAAGTTTCATGGTACACGGATGAACGGTGTGAAACCGAAATAGACTTTTATTTTTATAAACCGTATATAGAGAAAAATCGCAGCCTCCCGTTGCGCCGCCCTTGCGAAATTAAAAATGATTTTTTACAGAACCCTTTCCTAGAGTTTTATAATGAACTCCCCAAAGTTTCATGTCTATCGGATGAACGGTGTCACTGCAATTCACTTTTATTATTTTTATATACCGTATATAGAGAAAAATCGCACCCTCCCGTGGCGCCGCACTTGCGAAATTAAAAATAATTTTTTACAGAACACTTCGCTAGAGTGGTATAATCAACTCCCTAAAGTCTCATGGCTATAGGGTGAGCGCTGTCAAACCAAAATCGACTTTTATTTTTATATACCGTATATAGAGAAAAAACAAATCGCGCCCTGCCGGGGCGCCACCCCAGCGAATTTGAAATTTTTTTTTTCCGCAGAAACCTCCCCAGGAATATTCACAACAACTTCCCAAAGTTCGACGGCGATGTGATAAGCGGTGTGGTAATGCATAAAAGACACACACACACACAGACACACACACATACATTGCTTTATATATATATATATATATATATATATATATATATATATAAATATATATATATATATATATATATATATATATATATATATATATATATATATATATATATATATATATATATATATATATATATATATATTAGTATGTGTGTGTGTTTGTGTTTGTGTTTAAATACATATATTATGTGCTGTCTATAAATAATATAGTTCTAAAAATGTATGTACAGTATGCGTAAGTATGTGTGTGCATAATAGAAAACAATTCTCTATAACATCCACCAATATTTTACCTATTAAGATGTATACTATCCCAAATATTTTCCCTAAAATATCCACTCATATTTTACCTATCAAGATGTACAAGATCCCAAATATTTTCTCTAAAATATCCACTCATATTTTACCTATCAAGATCCCAAATATTTTCTCTATAATATCCACTCATATTTTACCTATCAAGATGTACAAGATCCCAAATATTCTCCCTAAAACATCCACTCATATTTTACCTATTAAGATGTACACTGTCCTAAATATTTTCCCTAAAACATCCACTCATATTTTACCTATCAAGATGTACAAGATCCCAAATATTTTTCCTAAAATATCCACTCATATTTTACCTATCAAGATGTACAAGATCCCAAATATTTTTGGCCATTTCACGTTCGCACCGCACATGCCAAACACCTGGACCAACAGAATACCATAGTAGGCGCAGGTTGTGAGTACCGCTAGAGCCCCACACAGGTATCGTACATCTGGAAGTAGTAGAAGTGTTACAGATCGACATTCATGGGCTCAATATTTGTCTTCCCCCTCCCTAGTCACCATTTATCTTAATCAAGTTTTAATCTTTACTTCATAATAACTTTGTATAATATTAATTACGGTTTTTTAAATTCAATTGTGTTATTGAATAGTTACACATTTCTATTTGTTCAACATCTGCCTTTTTGTTGTTGTTATTGTTGAAACTTTGCATAGAGTTGAGCCCCACGTATAACAAAAGTTAAGGAGGGAAAGATTATATTGAACGGGGAGGAAAGAGGTGTTAAAAGAGGTGCAATGAGTAGAGATGATAATAGAAGAGCTGACCACATGCAAAAGGTGGCATAAACTCAATTGTCTGATCTGAGATAGACAGGTATGGTGGAGTGATGTTGCTGCCTTATGCCTCACAAAAAGCCATTAGGACAAATTGTAAAGACGAGCCGACCGGCGGCGTATCATACGCCGCTATTTAGTTGTTTTATTTTACTACTTTTCAGAAATTCATAATTTGTGAATTCGACAGTACCAATGCTGTCACTGAAAATATTTGCTTTAAAACACTACCCCCCCCCCCCTTTCCCCCAACCCCTACCCTACACCCCCCCCCCCCCCCCCGTTAAAGCAGCTTCCTCTTAGTTACCTCCCTCCAGTAAGTTTAAAATCGTTTCAAACTAAATTATCTGCCCCTAATAGCCGTCACTAAACCCGGCTCTACGATTTGTAAACATTAAGCGTGAACCACAGCTCACCAGACCATGTGGGGTAGGGGTGATAGTGATAGTGATAGAGAGGAAGAGGAAGAGAGGAAGAGAGGGGACTGCAAGGCGCGCTTGCAGCTTGTTTTCTAACGTCTCCCAGAAGAGAATTATATATATAGATAGCTTAACTTAAAATTTGAATGAAGTATTCCATGATTAAATGTAGATTAATTAGCGAGTAAATATGGAAGAGTTAAAGTATAATTACAGTGTGGGTCTGGAGTTTTGCAGCCGTTGGCGTCACAGTAAATGAAGAGATTCTGACTGTGTTCGATGTCATTCCCCTGTGGAGACGGTACAATTTGTTACAGTGTGTGGCCTGGTGGCTATTTAACTATGATAGTAATGCTGTTGTTTTAATATTTACCGTATCAAAACAAAACTTGCTAGAACTCTCCAGGGAAAAAGGGGGGAAAATCAGGTTAAGCAAGAAAAAACAATATTTTTAGCGTATCAAAACAAACTTGAATTGGAACCCTCCAGTGAAAAAGAAAAAAAGAAGCAGGTTAAGCAAGAAGAAAAAAAACAACATTAACATATGACTTAGAGAGTGGTACAAGAAAGATGGGTTACAACTGTTAAAAAATCTGGCCGAAAAGTCGAGCTGCCACGAAAGCTTTTGTTGGACTATACCCTAGTGGCACTACAGGATTACACAATGCTGTTATGTTAAGAGCGTGTGATTGCATCCGTTATCAGATCCTGGAATTTATGTGTGCCACTGATGTACATGTGTGTCTTCCGATTGCACAGTGGATGTGTATACGTGTGATATTGTTGAAGATACGGTGTTGGGATTTTGGCATTGTTGTATGTGCGATAAGGGTATGAAAAATACATATAATATTTTTTTTTAAAACAACAACTATATGTGTATACTAGTGTATTAGTTCCGTTGTAATAAACAAAAGAATTTTCTAGAACCTACAGACCAATGGCGGAGGAGATAAAACCCAACTCTAACAAAGACACATGAAAAGATTATTTTTGCCGATTTTTCACTTTTAGTGCACATTATAAACAGTTGATCAATTTAATTAACAGGTTCACGAGTGAAATGACATGAGTTCGAATCTCGACGTTAAATATGATCAATACATGCATCCAACAGATGCACCTGAGTTCACCCAGCATTAACAAGTACCTGGCATAAGTGTGTAAGATAGATATATCAGCCATTGAAACGTCAGCATTATAATGTAGCAAAACCCCCATAAACTCTACTTCTTCTGTTCCAATGTCGTCAAGTGAAGAAAGGATACATTAAATTAAACTTTCCATTAACAAATGTGTATACATTACGACATACCTTGTAGACGCCCACCCAATAAGGATTGAAAAGTCCTGTAGTGTAGATAACCAGGGTCAACAGATTGAGGAGAATTGTGTAGATTTTTGTCACAAATTCAGAGCACGCCATTCTAGATGAGATGAAAGTTAATTTACGCCAAATATTAGACTTCAATTCACAAATTTAGACCTCGCCATACTAAATAAATTCATAGAAAATGTACGCAAAATGTTAGATTTGAAGGCACAAATTTAGACCTCGCTATTCTAAATAAAGTCATAGTAAATGTACGCAAAATGTTAGACTTAAAGTCACAAATTTAGACCTCGCCATTGTAAATAGAGTGAAAATAACTTTACGAAAAAGGTTATACTTTAAGATACTCAGTTTATACTCAGTTTATACGATCCCCAGTAAGGACTCAACTTAAGACTATCCAGCTAGCACCTCGTGCTCTACCCAATCAACCACTTTGCCACCCATATTTCAAACATAATTTTTAAAAGTGCATCTGATTGTTACACACATTTCTCCAAACTAAAATACGGTAATTTGGTAATACCCAACCCTAGAAGAAGAAGTATAGTTTGACTAACTCTGTTGAACAGAATATGTAAAAATAAAACATACAGTGAGGAAAAAAACTGATGGTTGAGGATACCGATATCCGATAATAAATTGTTCTAAAAATAGGGGTGTTAGGTTGCTAGTAGTATTGTTTCTCAACTAGTTTTATGGTTAGAAATTAGAGTTAGGTGTATTGTAAAACTAGGGTTGGCATTAGGGTTAGGGTTAACATTAGTCATTAGATATTAGATAAAGTAACCTAACACCCCTTTTTAAAGAAGATTCTATTATCGGACGCGGGTATTAAAAAAATCCCCCCCCCCCTTCCCAAAAAAAAGTAGGGGTTTACAACACAGACATTTACTTACCTCAAAACATGCCAGGCACCCACCAGGGCTGGGTACGAGTTAAAACTTGAGTCGAGCCCAAAACTTACGTGACAGTAATTGCCCTCTCTGCCGACCACAGCCTACCACACTATAAAACAGTGGTACAGTGATACAGTTGATGCCTAAACAATGCAAGGAATTTATAATTATATTTTAATTTTAAGATTTAAAAAATATCTAAATTATAATTTTTTTCCCGTTCTGTTTGATGATTTCGATATGTATTTTAATCTTAATACAGATCTAGATTCTAGATCTACTATTTGGAAACTATTCATGGCCGCCTTTATTACTAACTCACATTCTTGTAGATCTAGTATGTTTTAGAATGAACATAGTTTTGGTGAATTAACTACTTAATTCAACCTTTCATTTAACTGTATTTAACAAGAGTAAAAAACGAGACTTTATTGTTATTTCATATAAGAAAATGTCTAAATTTACACATACATTGTAAATTCTTGTTTTCAAATATTTGCCAGCTGCAATGATTTAATTTACTTTCATTATACCCATCAGGATCAGTGCAAATCCGTGCTACGATTTATGGTGTGCAGTTCGCTATATTTGGACAAACCTGTATGCATTTCACATGGGGATAATAAAATTCAGAATCTATCAAAAGCGTTATGGGTTACCACTGGGGACAGTTGGAGAAACTTAGACAGGAAAGATGGGTTACCACTGGGGACAGTTGGATAAACTAGCACAAGAAAGATGGGTTACCACTGGGGAACTATTGGAGAAACTAACAAAAGAAAGATGGCTTACCACTGGGGACAGTTGGAGAAACTAGCACAAGAAAGATGGGTTACCACTGGGGACAGTTGGAGAAACTAGCACAAGAAAGATGGGTTACCACTAGGGACAGTTGGAGAAACTAGCACAAGAAAGATGGGTTACCGCTGGCGACAGTTGGAGAAACGAGATAAAGAAAGATGGGTTACCACTGGGGACAGTTGGAGAAACTAGCACAAGAAAGATGGGTTACCACTGGGGACAGTTGGAGAAACTAGCACAAGAAAGATGGGTTACCACTGTGGAACTATTGGCGAAACTAGCACAAGAAAGATGGGTTACCACTGGGAACTATTGGAGAAACTAGCACAAGAAAAATTGGTCACCACTTTGGAACTATTGGAGAAGCTGGCACAAGAATGACGGATATCCACTGGAACTATTAGAGAAGCTAGCACTAGAGAGATGCATGGCTTTACAATTTGAAAACAGATCAAACAGGAGTGGAGCCCCCTCAGGTGATGGGATTACCAACTCTAGATTCTTTAAAACAGCTCCTGCTGATGCATGGCTGTATAGTTAAAACCTCTCCCTTTCTCCCCATTAGCTGTGTGGGGACTAGTGGGAGAAGATACCCAATACACGGGACAATGCTGGATCCTCTTATATTGCTGCCCATATGGATTTGATTATCAGGTCGCAACCGTCCAATCGTAAAGCTTGTTATATTTAGTTCACCGTCTCGGCTTAACTATCAACCGACAAGAAACAAAAACCCACAAATACGTCATTCAAGACTTTAAAAATTCAAATAATTCAAATTAAAAAAAAAAGATTCCTGTTTAGACCTTGAGATCTATTGAGCAAAGTTAATTTCTTATGTTTCGTAGCTTAGGCATATGAAGGGATAATTTGGTCAGCACTCTTCCCAGCTCTATTTACTTTCCATAACGTGAGTTAGGTCTCTTTCAGAGCTGGAATAATCTTACAGTCGTTCCACTGACTTGAACCCGGGTTCGAACACGAGACTTTCAGTTTAGCAGTCTACCGCTCTATCGGTAGGCCACGCCGTTTCATAAATAATTCGAATTAGGTAGCATAAATTAACAATTAAAATGTGAATACAACAAATTGTGAAGACCATCGTATATCTGTTGTAAAACTGAAGTTTAATTTTACAAAAAAGTTTGTAATATTTCGTTCGAAATGCGAGAAGTAACTTCATGTAAGCTGAAAGTTGTCACATACAGATCAAAGCTGACTGGTTCGTGTATGTTAACAGTCGTCACATACAGATCAAAGCTGACTGGTTCGTGTATGTTAACAGTTGTCACATACAGATCAAAGCTGACTGGTTCGTGTATGTTAACAGTCGTCACATACAGATCAAAGCTGACTGGTTCGTGTATGTTAACAGTCGTCACATACAGATCAAAGCTGACTGGTTCGTGTATGTTAACAGTCGTCACATACAGATCAAAGCTGACTGGTTCGTGTATGTTAACAGTCGTCACATACAGATCACAGCTGACTGGTTCGTGTATGTTAACAGTCGTCACATACAGATCAAAGCTGACTGGTTCGTGTATGTTAACAGTCGTCACATACAGATCACAGCTGACTGGTTCGTGTATGTTAACAGTCGTCACATACAGATCAAAGCTGACTGGTTCGTGTATGTTAACAGTCGTCACATACAGATCAAAGCTGACTGGTTCGTGTATGTTAACAGTCGTCACATACAGATCAAAGCTGACTAGACCATAGCACAGATAGGACATCAATTTCCGAATTTACAAATCACCTGTCCTAATACAAAATACAAACATTCAATCATTATACTTAATGACTAGTCGTCACTTTTAAAAACTAAACGTAATCACAATTTATACTAATGAACTCTTAATAAATCTAGACTTACTATAGTTTTATTATAATATTGATAACTTTTAAAACAAATTAACGCATCACCTATTGTTTAGTGCAGGGGCGGCAACCTTTGAGACGGAAGAGCCAAAATTTACAATTTACAAAATTTCCAGTTTTTAAAGAGCCACAAATATTTTCTCTCAATATTATGCTCTATGATTAGGATTGGGTTATATATATATATATATATATATATATATATATATATATATATATATATATATATATATATATATATATATATATATATATATATATGTAACTAGGGTAGGCCTAGCTACTAGTTACAAATCTGATAACGAACGATAAGCCGAGACGCAGTATTACAGTCTGATGCAACCGATAGCAGGTGGCTTATTGGATCGGACTGATAACAATCTCAAAGCCAACGCGTGCTATTTTGGGAAACGGTACGAGGGGATTCAGACGGCCTGTCAACTTTGATTGATAGGATGCAGATGTTTATGACACGGACTGTACGTTAGAACTGCGCAACTAGTGGTCGGAGACATCGAGTACAAGTATCGATTACGGAGGAATACAAGTACGAAGATGAGTACGAATACAAGGGATAAATAGGAGGGGACGGCAGAACTCGCTCTCTTCCCTCTTCATCGCTCGCTTTAGATCAGTCAGTCTGTGTGACATATCAAGTTGGTTATATTGTGTTAAGAAGGACAATAGACATGTGGATTCAGTTATATGAAGCCTAGTGAGGACTGTTAGGGGTCAGTTGATTCAGACTATTATTGTGAAACATTCCTGTTGATTCATTGTGTTATATTGAAGCATTTCTTGATTCATGTAATAAAAGGATCAATAGCGAACCTGCATCTTCGAGTCTTTCTACTGTAGTCGATGTTGTGTAGCATGAGTGGTTCAACTCGTTGCAATTGGCGTTGTCGGGCAGGATAGACTCGGGGAAGGTCACATTTGGCGCTGCGAACAGGATGAATTCAACTAGACTTGCCGTTTGAGGCACCCATAGTCAACCTTGTGCATAACTGTGTTTTGTGTGTATGTGAATTCGGACATTCAGGAACTGTGAAAATCGAGGAAAATTTTTTCATATACACACGGTAAGAAAGAACTCTTTTGTTTTACTTACGGAATAAAATGTCTACTCTGGACGAGAAGCAGACCCATATAGTGGTCCTACCCAGAGAGTCCCACATTAACAAATTTTACGGGGACGGTGATCCAACTTTAACCAACAGGTTCAGTGAAGAGGTCAAAGCGGCCTGGGCCTCGAGAGGCATGTCACCAGAGGAAAGATTAAGACGGCTGATGGGCAGTATAGGAGAGACGGTTAGGGCAGAGGTCAAATGCCACGATAAAACCATCCAATCAGATCCAGATAAGGTGCTGGATCTGATTATGGAGACCTTTGGGGAGAGACGGTCGGGATCGCAACTGCTAGCAGGGTTCGTAGGCTTAAGGCAGAGATTGGCGGAGAGTGTGATGGAGTACTCACACCGGATGAACAGGGCCTTTGATTCGGTAAAGGTCAAAACACCTGACATTGATGTGCGCCTACTGAGGGACCATTTCATCGAGGGGCTGGCAACCCCGATCCTAAGAAGAGAGTTGAAAGAGGAGGTCCACAAAGACCCGCAGTTGACCTTCCTTCAGGTCAGGAACTCAGCGATCCGCAGGTCCGAGGATGAGGACCAATCGAACTGTTCGGTGGACAAAGTCTCTGTGCCTGAACAGAGACAATCCCCACCCACAGGGGCCGACACGATGGAGACCATGATGGCTCAACTGTTGGCCCACCTAGATAAGGTTGACCAACGTTTGGAGAGGTTAGAAAGCAGGTCAACAGCTGAGAATCAGGAAAAGAACGGGACAAAACAGGGACGGGTTGGACGGCCGCGTCCTGCCAAGCCATCACTCCAATGGACGGCCGACGGTCGACCAATTTGTTTGTCTTGTTCACAACCCGGACATATGGCACGGTACTGCCAGGGAAACGGTCGTCCTCTGTAAGGCAGGGCCAGGCTACAGAGGGGCGAGGTTATGGCCCAAGAAGCAAAATGATGGGAGTCTGTCCCGAAATGGTGATTACGATTGGGTACATCGCGGTGAAGGCAATTGTGGATACAGGCTCCCAGGTGACGACAATCACGGAAAATTTTTACACCAAATGGATGAAAGGAAAAGACCATAGGTTGAGGTCTGACACATGCATGCGCCTGACGGCAGCTAATGGACTAACCATTCCATACTGTGGTTATTTTCTGGCGGATGTCGTGGTGGCAGGACATAGGTTGAAGCAGGTTGGGGTGTTCGTTACGAAACACAACCTAGAGACAAATGTGTCAAATATACCTTGCCTGTTGGGCATGAATATTCTTGGCCAGTTGCCAGAATTTCTTACAAACATTGTCGGATCGACCACACCAGGTCGGGGATCCAAGTTGGCCAGGTTTGCCAAGACCAGAGGAAGGACAGCAGTCCCGGCAAACACGGTCAAGGCAATCACATTACAAATTGGTGATAGAAGCGTGAATGGTGATGTGATGATAGAACCATGTGGCGCCGCACTGAGGGCAGGCGTCGTGTTACTGCGGACATACACATCAGCGGAAAATGGACTAGTTCAAGGATTAGTGGCAAATGTTTTGGATGAGGAAATTTTTATACCGCCTAATACTCTGGTAGGAGTACCACAGAACGTCGAGGTACTAAGGTCGGCACAGTGCATCGAACTGAGCAATACCAGCAGTAATGAAGTAACAATTAGGTCGGTCAATGTGACGGCCGAGGTGAAGAAAGAGGATGGCCGATCATATACATTCCCGGAAACTGAGGACCCAAAACTAAA